AGGGATTATTTGTCTGTCTGTCGTGCACGAATGTGCTGTCCAACCAAGTTCCTACCTGCCCACTCCGAAGGAACGTGTTATGACAACAGCAGCAGCAGCAGCAGGAGAGGAAGGGTGACCGAAGCTGATGCGGATGGGAGTATGTGGTTGAATGAGACATGATGAGGATCGTGGATGTGACGAGAATAGAGGCACAGAATAGAAGCTCATGGAGGCGGAAAATCTGAGCAGCAGCCCCCCCTCCGCCCCAGCCCCCCCACCAGTGGTGTCAAAAGTGGCATCGAAACACTAACACAAGAGTTACTCCAGTGAAATTAAGGTCAGGGTAGATTTTCACCTCGGGTCTTATCTTTGTTTACTCATTTCCTGACATTTCACAAGATGTAATTAACCAGAGTCATTTTATCAAAACGCGTTCCACTCTCTTGCCTGCCATAATGAATGTGCGGGGTTTTTTTTGCTGTTTGTTTTCACATCAAACGTTCGTTTGGCTAGGCAAGGTTCTACCGATAATTAAGCTACAGTATGGCATGCCAGACATCCCTTGATTTGTCCTCACTACAACATTTATAGTAGAAGCTAATGATGAAGGATAATGGCAGCACTGTGTGCCATCTTTACTCCGTTGTGCAGCAAGCATGTATAATGAGGCGCTTACTAGATTCCGTGGTGTGACTGTGTAATTAGTGCCAGTGTGTTGCCATGATCATTCCTCTGGGGTACTGTAGCCAGAACAAATCCACATTGGGGTTAGGGTATATAATGTACAATATATGTGGAATATCAAGTATATTTTGAAACCAGGTATTATACATGTGTTTAATATACTGCTCACTGACTAAGCGATAAAATATGTAATGCGATGCATCGTCTTGCGCTGATTATCATCATTGCTTTCAACTCCTGTCATCATGAATTTTGCGATCATATTTATTTAATTGTGGCCTACAGCCATACGAACTGTCAAACGGTTCTCATTTGAACATTGTCTCCCAAGATCACTTTCAGATAACCATTAGTTTGTTCGGTTTTCTCCCCCACCCCCCGAATTATATCTTAACAAGGTCATCCCATCGAGGTTGTGGTCCGTCCTGCCTTCCAGCTGCCACAATATGAACGTGCATTTTTCACTTGTGTCATTTATAGAGACTTCACCGTGTGCCTTAATGTTGATAGCATAGTTTAAGATTATATTATAATTGGTAAGGTAGTCGGAAAAATACATAAATTCCCTTTCATTTCTCAATTGTAAATGTAACGCTATTCTAAGCTAGCTATTTAATAATACTGCAACGTATAATGTGTAAAAAATCATGGATTTAAAGTGTAGAAAAATACAGTTTTATTTGTTAGCTTTTAAAAAAAGACGATCTCAGTTGTTTAATGCAATAAAAAACACAAGGCCTCAGGACATATATTAAATTTACATTGTAATGGGAATGTATTCTGAAAAGGGGACATTTAGTAGTATTATTATTTTGCATACCACACTTCAGTGTCCATTGCATTGCACGACTTTTGAAAATTTTGCCAGGGCATTACATGTGGCATTTTGTTTTTAAACCAAATTGTAATGGGCTTAGTCGTACTATGGTTAAACTAACCAACCATCAAAGTAGTTGAACTTCAGATCACAAGTGAATATATGAAATATTGACAACAGAACATATAAGAGAGTAACTGTGTTTTTGGCCAATATGATTACAAACATTTGCAGCATGTCCTAGGATGCCTGAAGCCAAATAGATGAAGGATTTGTCTCACGATTGAGGTCACTTGTGTGGCCATGAAGGATATAACCTATCACTGAATGCCTATCAATAAGCAGACTGTTGGTTTTGTAACACCGTGATGAAAAGATAAGTTGCAAAATAATTACATGTTGGAAAATATTTCAAACATTGTCAACATGCATTTCTGGTTGTTAGGAACTGATCATGTATGTGAACATAGATTATTGTTCTTGCACACCGACCTATTACATGTTGTTGTGACGCATTATGGGTAAACGTATAAATAAGAAATACTCCGTTTTGTGTTTTGTATACATGTATGTTTAACTTCTTTTGCACCATATGCAGCTAACCGTGCGAGTCAGAGGTGCGGGAGAAGGACAACAAACTAAACACAAAAAGAAGTTGTAAAGAAATGAGTTTTTAATATAAATAATAAATAATTATGTTAGTCCAGCAGCCCATTGGCTTTCCAAACCACGCAACATATGTTTAAGCTCTGGACTGGTTTTGACTAAAAAGGTCAAATCGGAATTTTCTTGCTTAAACAAACACTGCATGATAAGATTGGTCTGGAAATCCAATAGGCCGATGGACTACAATATATGGACAACTGTGGAAAAGATCTTCATAGCTCATCGGATTCCTCCAGAATGATTCTGATACATATTCTGATTCTGATATTGTAATTTAAATGTGAAAAGAGAATGGATCTATGCTTATTGGTGGATAAGTTAAGTAAAACAATTACCTTGGAGATGGGCTCTGTTCGGATAAGTTATATGCCACGTTTGGAGAAAAAAATACACTCTTATAACGAGACACAATATATGATGATTCCATGGAGATTATAAAACTTCATGGATTTCATGCCATTTTCATGGAGACATCTCCCTTGCTTCTGGGACCATTTAAAGTTATGCTGTCATTAAGTGTGAATAATTAGTTTGCTACATCTGTTCCCCAATATTTGATGTCATTCACTCTTCCTTTATTACCATGGTTCTAGTCATAGCCATTTCATTGCGAGCAATTTTTTTAAGGATCTTATTTATTTCTTTAGAGTCGTTTCGCTTAACCCTGTATGCTACATTAGAAAGTGGCATGACATTTCAGATTGTCCTTTTATATTGCCGTCTTGGTTGACATGCCTGTTGTAGAAAATGCATATGACTAAAAGAAACCTGAAAGTACGATTTATGTTGCCAGCACTGTGAGAAGTAATTTTCGGTTTTATTAATTATCTATGGCAATACAGAATGTTTTTATTTGATTTTCTATTCACGTAAAAATACAATAGAAAATATTATTTGGGTCTTTCGGTAAAGTCACGTAGATAGGTTCAAAGAAAATAACAAAATAACGACGACGTTACGATCGTAACACAAGCGGTCGTCATCAGGAAAAGCGGGGTTAGCTTCTAAAGACAACTGTTTATAATTGTGTCTGTGTCTATATATATGTGGATGGAATCACAAACGAATCTTTGTTGATAGCCAGTAGGTTTGCAAAGTATCTTCGTTTTAGAGAAACGTACAATTTCAACCGAGAAGATGGATACAAACTGAGCAATCATTGGAAGGACGTTATTAACCAGTTTAAGTCATAACTGGCTGTGATGTTCACATCCTACCCCGTTCCGATGTTAGTTGTTATTTTCGGATCCCTGATTTTTTTACATTAACAGATTAAATTTGTCATACTAAGACAGCGACTTCGCGCGCCATCCTCGAGGTTGCTGCTCGGCAATCTTCCCATTAACATGCTAATCTCTCACATTAACATGCTAATCTCTCACATTAACATGCTAATCTCTCACATTAACATGCTAATCTCTCACATTAACATGCTAATCTCTCACATTAACATGCTCATCTCTCACATTAACATGCTAATCTCTCACATTAACGTGCTAATCTCTCACATTAACATGCTAATCTCTCACATTAACATGCTAATCTCTCACATTAACATGCTAATCTCTCACATTAACGTGCTAATCTCTCACATTAACATGCTAATCTCTCACATTAACATGCTCATCTCTCACATTAACATAGCCACCTCGGTGCGCTCGCCGTGGAGGCTGCTCGGCAAACGGCCATTAACATGCTAATTATTTCCCTGGCAGCCCTTTGATTGGTGGAAAACCCACCACCGCCACGGTCGCTGCCCACCACTTACATTAACATTGGCTGCTGACATTTGGGCGACGCCCATTTCAAACCTTTATAAACAGTTTGTCTTTAGAAGCTAACCCACATTTTTCTAATGACGACCGCTTGTGTTGCGATCGAAACGTCGTAGTTTTTTGTTATTTTTTGTAATTTTCTTTAAACCTATCTACGCGACTTTACCGAAAGACCCAAAGAATATGAATTCCTGCAGTCACGAAAGCTTTAAGTGCCAATAGAAAATATCACTGAAAATAAAATGATTTAAGGGTGAGAAATATAGTTTCCTGGGAGCTTCTTTCAGAGAGTTCTGTAATTCTCAGTATGTATGGAGGAGTTTTCATTTTTTTTACAATAATTGGAAAGGACATTGCTTTGGCACAAACAATACCGTTAGGAATGCAACGTAAGACATGACAATATGAATTACTGTGAAAAAATGTTTACAGATTGTTGGCATAACGTGTATGTTTTAAATGTATCATTATATTTCCAATTTTGTTGTTAAGCCAATGAATTGCAGTGTTGAGTTTTTGAAAGAGGAAGGTTTAACCCCAGTAAGTACTTGGTAAAATATATATGTTTAAACAAATAATATAATGTAAAATGTGCTATGAATACCTGTAATAAAAAAATACACCAAATTCCAATTCACGCAATTGATGTGTCATTGTAGTTTATAACATAATTATCTTGCACCATGAATTGGAAAAAACTACCCTGTGCCTATTCGAAAATATATTTCAATGCTTTACCTCGCTATTGGGAATGTGAGAACCTCTTATTTCAAACTGTTGCTGTCGTTATATATTCACGTGATAACAATGCCAATTAACACCATTACCGTGAACAGTTAATCATATTCTAAATAAAGTCGTTATATTTCCCCCTCCTCCACCCGATGAAGACGTGCCATCTTGCAAACTGGCACCACGGTAGTGCGTGTGTGTGACACAGGAGCTGTGACAACACCTCGGAGACAAGCTCGCACGGACGCAGTCAACACGGAACGCTGACAGTCACAATTTGGTCGTCGGTTACCGCCTTCATCACGGCCTCACGTTTGTCTTGTTGTCGCGGTTGTCTCTTGCAGCTCGCGAGGAGAGCATGGCCACATTTAAAGGCGCCGAATACCTGTGCTATGACCTGGCCAACAACCCCATTCAGAGCAGCAGCGACGAGATCACGCTGTCCTTCAAGACCTTGCAACGCAATGGCCTCATCCTGCACACCGGCAAGGCGGCCGACTATGTGAATCTAGCCCTCAAGGACGGCGCCGTCTCGCTCGTTATAAACCTCGGCTCGGGCGCTTTCGAGGCCCTCGTTGAGCCCGTCACGGGAAAATTCAACGACAACAACTGGCACGATGTGAAAGTGACTCGGAACCTGCGTCAGGTAGGGCTGAGGGATGTGGATGAAGCGGTAGAGCCTTTGCCAGGAAGGGATTGGAAGTGTCCTGCATGCAAGCTGTTTGCGGAGTGTCGTTACTGATGGGAAAAAAAGTAACTTTTTCCACGAAGGTCGATCGAAACAATGCAATAATGTCGAAATGGTATTAAAAGAGCGCCGTTTTCAGAAAACATGCACTTGGTACGGTTTTTTTGTTGTTCAAAAAATTCGAGTGCAATTGTGTTACACACACTTACATTGAAGGGCATCAGAACTCGCTTTATTAATTAGATGGCACCTTGGTTTAAAACAAGACATGCACCATCTTCACTATCGCTTTGCATTTTACGTAACTGAAATTAATTGGATTTGAGAAGTCCAATAATGAAACCTCAGTGAATTATTGTACATTTTTCCAAGTTTATTATAAAGGAATTTGGGAAAAAAAGAATCCACTTGAAATTAAATAACTATATTTCCACTTAAAAATATATATAGACTGCAAAGTGTTTAACATATTTTGAGTCCCACTTTTTGGGAGAGTGTTGGTAGCATTGTGAATTTTCTCATTAAAAAAAAATGTCTTAAGCATAACATTAACACAATATGGAGTGCACAAAATGTGGCATTCATGAAGATTTACCTATTCATTTATCATAGGTCGTGTTTGTTAACAGTATATTTTGAGGTCTTCTTACCTCTCTTATTCTCTCTTGACGGTTGGGATTTAATTGGTGGAGCGGGCCTTTAAATTTGTGCAATTAGTGTCACGAAAACAGTTGTGTTTTTTCAAAAAATGGACAGAAAGGGTGAGAGAGCAATGCAAGTGGCAGAGAGGTCACTAGAATTGGGGACCTTTTGTGGGCTGGGTGATCCATCAACCACCTACGATCATATTCCTGTTTTACGTTATTTTCCTGTGCCGTATTTGTGTTTCTTTTTCAGCATTTAATGCTTCATGTTGCTTTTTTTTCATCCAAGAGAGGTCTTTTCGAATACATGTGGAATGTGCCGTTTACTGCATTATCCGTGCCTGCCTGCGTCAACGTGGCTTGCAAGCCGATTCACATTACGTGCTGCACATGCAGTGGAGCTTATCTTCCTGGCCGTTTTAGGGGTGTGGAGGAAACGTCGCTAAAACCAATACCCATTTCACTTTGAAAGAGCTATACATTTTTTTTTTACCAGTATCACTTGTTCCGCTCAAAATTTGTATCCCAATTCATTCGCAATTGAGCCGAAGAAGCGTACAAAGAAAAACAAAGCCCAAATTTGTACATACAGGTTCAAAGTAAGTAAGAAATCTCTGTTCAGTACCAGACTAACGAGGTCCTGACTATCTCATGAAACTGGCTGTGTCACACGAGTCTGTTTTAGGCCTATCTGTTGGTCTGCTATGTTCCTGTAGAATTTGTTTGCATTTCTTTTCTATGTTTAACTAACATGCTTATTTGATGACTAACATATTTCATTCATGGAATGTGTCATTTTTACTAACCTTTAACCTGGTAATGTACTAACACCTTGGCAACCATCATGTTTTTTGAGTAAAACACAAAAAATTGTTGTTTCGTTCCAAGTTTTTTAATTTTGTTTTTTCCTCCCCCTTTTCTGCAAAGCTGTCAAGCATTGGACACGCTATGGTAAACAAACTACATTGTCTGGTAGATATCATTCTTATTGTCTTTTTTTGGGTTTGCCTTGTGTTTGTTCTTTCATTTCGCCCCCCTTTCGTTTGTTGTAAACACCATTAACTTGTACAAGGAACTGGGGTTGGTACTTTTCTGCTTACTTTGAAATCCTGCTTCTGATCGGACCTGTTTTTGAAAAACCACTTGCATTGTTTTTTCTTAACAGCGAACAAAATTTCAGACCGCCGTAGACCTAAGATTGCAATTCGATTTGCAAAACAAACAAAAACAAAACAAAAAGCTGCAAGCCTGCTGCATCGGGCAGCACTGCTCTTTCACTCAGGCAACTGGCGGTGGGCAACTTGGCATGCCAACCCCCCTCTGCCAGTTCCTCTCTGTACACGGTGCATGGCATGGAGCAACGGAGGGGCCTACGGGGACCTCCGGCACCCTGGCTTTTAACCCACCCGTTTTTTCTTTTTTGATTTCTAGCATCACATCGGATCTCTGCTGCATGCGCGTGTCAAGTGGGCCTATTCCGTAATCTCTCACTCGCTCGCTCACTTCCTCTGTCTCTCTCTCTTTTTTTTACTTTCTTTCACACTCTTATTCTGTTTCTCTTTTGGTCTTTCTTTGCCTGTTTTTGGTAACGGACATGATTTGTTATATACTCTTATTTAACGTGCACTTGATCTGGGCAAGTGGCTCAGTTGTAGAATGAGAGGCTCGCAAATTAGAAGGTTGCGAGTTTAAATCCTGGTTGGGGGTTTGACTCAGCCCATCGACCCTCTGGGGTCGGTAAAATTGATACCACTTTGTGGGGCAGTCCACGATGGTTGTCCACAGAGGGACTCACCCCTGCCCTAAAAATATGGAATGTACACTACTTGTTTAGGTTGCAACAGGAGATGAGCACTGCCTCAATCCCCGTTTGAGCAAGAAATTACTTTGACTGTAATCTCTTATTTTTTATTCAAACATCTTTTTATTTACATCTATTTTCTCTCTCTCTCTGTATTTATCTTCCTGCCTCTCTCTCTCTCTCTCTCGCTCTCTCTCTGTCTCTCCTACACACAATATTTGCACGGTTCTTGGCTCTTGTGTGATGTCGCACATCTTGCTGTTGAGCGTTGTGTGGTTGAAGTGGCAGCCATGGTTTACTGGACTGTGACGGTGTCTCTGACCCATGCTATACTGCCTGTAAATGGGAACTCTCCTCAGTGCACGCTCCTTTCTCTATGGTGGCGTTAGTGGAAGGCATGTTTATTGACTGGCGTGCCATGCTGTTTGTAAGTGAATTGTAATGTATGCAAGTAGCATTGCAGTACCTGGGCTGAGTTGGTCATCTTTATGTAACCTGCGCTTACGAAGAAAGGGGAACAATACAGCATTCCGTTTCTAACATGTTGGTTATATAAGCCAAGAGTTATACTGTTGTTCCCAATTGGTTCTTCTTTATTCGTGTGCTTATTTAGGTAAAATGTATGCTTTTATCTTTGATGTTTGTGAGTGATTGATCATGAGCGAAGTTACTGTATTAATACAACTGTAACTACAATGATTACCGTAGGAAGTGATTCAAAGTGACTGGTACTTTTGAGAAAGCAACTCGACTGTTGATCACAATGCATGGTTATGGTATTAAAACAGCATTGATCACAGCTTTTGAAACAAAATGTGAGCTAGTTAAATAAAATACAGACAGCCGAATGAATTGTCAGCCAGTGCATTGTTTTCTTTTTACAGGGAAAGGCCTTGAAATGCATTACAATTATTGTTTTAATATTTCCGTAACCATTTATTACGCGTTAATATTCATACCTGACATTCAATAATAATTGTACTGATTCATATTTGAAAAAAAGCAAGCAATATTTTATTGCACTTGAACTTTATTCAAACTGTGCATGGGAAATGGAATTTGAAAATGTGAAATTGTGTACCTTGACATTTTCATGTAATTCCTAAATATGGCGCCTTTAAAAAAAAAAAGGTGCAAGCACAAAAGTGTTGGCCACAAGACATGCGTAGTTTTTACAATGTCCTTTTTAATGTGCTCGTGTTATGACTTTTTTTTTATTGACATGCTTTCTCTCTAGGGGAAAAAAACGGCTGTTCAAGGTCTAGTAACATTCGTGAAAGGTCCTTGTTTTTTTTTCTCCCATTTTTGTCCCCCCCCCCTCCACCTTCACCGCCGACGCCCCCTATAATTCACACCGGTCGTCCAGGTCACCATCTCAGTGGATGGCATCCTCACTTCAACGGGCTATACTCAAGAGGACTACACTATGCTGGGCTCTGATGATTTCTTCTATGTGGGGGGCAGCCCCAACACTGCCGATCTGCCAGGGTCACCCATCAGTAACAACTTCATGGGATGTCTAAAAGAGGTAAGACAGACGTTAGACGGTTGTGATGATGTTGCTCTGCATGCCGAATGACCACCGTATTGTTTTGGAACCGAAGCCTGATGAAACTATGAAACTATTTTCATGTTACGGGGTAAGGCCCACTGAGCTACATAGCTCTTTGTCAGAAGCAACCTGGCGACAATCGATAGTCCAAAGAAGTGACTCATCACGTGGAAATGTATCGCAGCCAAATACTCTAAACGCACGTTTATAAATGTGGAGGGGATAACCGGCGGACCCGGAGAAAAATCCACGTGACCACGGGGAGGACATGCAAACTCCAAATATATAGGCAACAGGGTCGGGATCGAACCCACGACTTGCTGTATACCAGGCGAGGGAGTGGACATCTCACCCCCACAGTGCCCGATTATGTAATTCTTCGATGATGCGTTTTTGGGTTGTACTGCGTGTTGTTCGGCACGATGTTCGAAGTTTCGCTCTACGTACTGGGATCTTCTTCGATTCAGTTCCCCGGCATGTGCAAAGCAACACGTGGTACGACCCAAAACACCATGAGAGAGTTATACAGCACAACTGTGATAACCACATTAACGAGTTATCATAATCATGATAACCACATTAACGAGTTATACATCTTAATCATGATAACCACATTGTAGAGTTATACAGCATAATCATGATAACCACATCTGTGATAACCACATTGGAGAGTCATATAAACTGCAAATTACTCAATTGTGATCATACATAGCAAACTCTGCCCCCATCTACTGGCGTACTGCCTGTTTGTAGGCCAGATGTTGGATCACCTTGTGCGCACAGCGACAGCTGCCCCTGGGGGTGCCCTTTCAAATGCGTTAAGATGGCATGTGATGTACGTCACTTACCACTTGTAAGGTGCTCTGAGTCACCCTGGCTTAAACGTCACTGTATCAAAAACGAACCGTTATCAGTAATATACCCATTGTATATAACTGTTATCAGTAATATACCCATTGTATATAACTGCAGCCCGGAAATGGTGGCTAGTCACGTGGCCTGTAATCCAGCACTGTGAAGACAAGGGTGTGTAGGTCGCACACATTTTGTGAAACTCTATTCCCGTGAGTGTCGAGGTGCAATACCCGAGCTCACCAGGAGAGGCAGTAAAGCAAGTGGACTAATCAGCATTTGTTTCCATTTGTACGAGAATATAGCGGTGCCTCCTCGCACATGTGTGTTTTCTCTGGGTGCTCCAGTTTCCTCCCGCTTGTATAATAAACACTCATTACTTTGGTTGAAAACATTATTAATTAAAACCCCAATGCAGGATGATCTTAAGCAAGAATGCAATGACTCAGTATGGCTCTCCTAGAAAAATAAGTAAATGAATAAAAAATATATATATAAATTAATTAATTGATCGATGTTACTCATAAGGTAACAGCTTTAAACATCTTAAAATAATTTAGCCATTTTAACATGATATTGTTATACATGGGGCATGGTGGCTGAGTCGTCAGAGTACTTGGTTATAAACTTAGTTGTATGAATTTGAATCCCAGCCATGGCTAACATCAGTGGCAAGAGATAACTGAATCAGCACCCACCCCCCTCCCTCCACGCTCCCTTAATCAACTCGCACTGACCTATGTAGTGAAGTATGGCAAAACAAACTTGAATGACTGATACAGCGTAGGGAGGTCTATATGCAGCAGTGGACTTACAAAGGGCTTTAAAATTGTAATTATTAGTATTATTACACAGCACACTCAAATAACATTGAGATAAATACATCATAAACAATATACAAGTACACTGTAGTATATTGTGCTCTATTAGTTCACAACATGATAAGTCATTTGTTTGATTTCAATGTAGAAAATGACGTTTGACGCAGCAATATATTGGAGAATGGTTGCTGCAATTTAATACAAGTTTATTAAGTGAGGTAAATAAAAAACATTACAGATGGGGTTTGAATAATATTTGCAATATTTGCTTTTAACTTCATGACCTCATAAACTCAAAGGGCACAGAATATTTATGTAATTTTTCATAAAATGTGGAAAAGCATTCCTAAACGCATCTCCAGGTACCATTCATTAGGTACTTCCTTTTTACTTTAGATAAACACATTTTTTTTATCGTAAATATTACGGTGTTTTATTTTTACTAAAATATCTCAAGGACCATAAAGAGACTTACACCGTGTCAATGTTTCATCTAGTTTTGCTACAATACAGAAATGTATTTAATGTAACAGAAAAAGTACACTGCAGTTAAATATAATGTGTGTAGGACTGGGCACTAAGCCAAACTCAAGAGGGCATTTGACATCCACAAGAGGCACGTACCCACACCATATAAATATGCCCTTTAAAGCCCAATCACATTCATGTTGTTCCACCTATTATTTTCACGGTACATGATGGGTTTTTTCACTCCAAATCTAGCCCTAATTAACGTAGCAGTTCCAAGAAATGCCTTTCCATTCTAAGAATAAGTGTGCCTCATCAACTTTAATCAAAACGTTCTGTTTAATTGGATATTTATCCCAAAGTTAAGAAGCAGTGGCCCCATGCAGGCCTATTTAGTGGATACATTGTTAATGAAATGTTAATGAAGTTACTTTAATTTATTATATCCCATGTCAGCAGTATGGAGTACAAAGCCACGTGGTATATCTTATTACATGAAAGCATGCAATGATAGAAAGCTTAACAAAAATTATGAACATTTCATGGATCGCTAAAGAGTTCGTTTGCATATACTACAGAAGCATTATTTAAAATAATTAAGCATTAATATTCAATGTGAAGTAAGTGGCACTGCCAACATCTAAAGGGAAAAACAAATTAAGAAAATTGAGGCAGAGTTCTACTCGGGGAGTAAAGACGTAGATTAAGGCGAGGGTCTAGGGTTACCTCAAGTCCTGGTTTTTCTGGGATTGTCCTCTGTTGAGGTAGCTGTCCTGGAAAATCTACGTCTTCCCAGAACATTAAAAGTCCCTCTTATTGTCATTTGTGTAATAATCCGCCACTCGAGACAATTTTCCCATGAAATGTCTCAGCTTTTGTACCTCAGAGGTGGCAACCTTCATAGTGTCAGGGGTGAGTACTGTCGTGTGATGTATTTGTGGCAGGTTTGGTCATGCTTAGGCATGATAGTAGGACTGGGATCTCGTTGGCTAGTAATGGTCGACATTTTACATTCCCAGATATGATTTATTTTTGGAGTTAACAGCACACCTAATCGCACCTCCAATTATCACGGCTGGTTGTGTACGTTGTGAAAGAAGTTAGGAATAATACTGATTTGGCAGATAAAACCCCCAAACTTTTCCTTATAATCAATAACAACTTTAAATAAATGTATCTCAACCGTTTAACCCATCCAGTTGGCAGAGCGAGTGGTCCTCGATCAAAAAGTTGCAAGTTCAAATCTTCGCTAGGGGTTGACTCAGCACATCATCCGTTTGGGGTCGATAAAATATTACCACTTTTTGGGAAAGTCAACAGTTGTCCTTTAGGAAGACTTACCAAAAGAAATAGGAATGTCCACCAATGGTGTTAGGGCTGTGAACGGGAGATAAGCACTACCTCAATACTCATTGAAGCAAAAAAAATGGTTTGACTTTTTACAGAATAAAAATCATTGACATTAGTTAAATAACAGACACAAATGCATCAATGTGAATTTGGCTCTGAATGAGTGCTATAACTTTACAAAAGTGGCAATGCACAATACCAACTGACATTGAATCCAACATTTAGATTATGTAGTTAATAAAGTATCGAGTTTTAAATCTAACATCATTGTACAGCGCAAAGTTAAACTTTAGTCTATCTAAGACGGTTGCCCTGGGGCCATGGATGGTAGCAAGCTTTTCGGGGGTGTTGCTCACTGTCAGTAACTTGGGCTGGCATGAAAGATTCGCTAACATAATAAATAATGCCAATAATGCAAATTGTGTATCCAGGAAGGATGCTGCTGTAACTGTTAGCAACACGGCACTTGCAATACAAAGGCCACCGATTCAGTCTCCTGGCGTGGCAGTTTAAACAAACACAACGCAAAATAAAATAAAATCCCCCCCCCACCACCTCTTTCAACACCGCAGTCAAAATGGGTCGTACGCCACAGTTAGTCGATTGGCAGGTCACTATGGTGGGGTAAAGTGTGGGTATTCGCTTGCAAAACAACCTTGCCAGCATGAAAGAATAGGCCAAAATGCTATCTTAGAGGGGTTTTTCTCGACCTCCTTTTAGTGGAGAGCCTTCTGCCAGCAGTGGCAGGAGAAAAAAATTCAGAGGCTGCAAATTTACGATTTTATTTACCCTGGGACGCCTCACCGAGTCTGAAGAACATTTTCAGGTGGGTGCTGCATTGCAGTTGCCATATGCCAGGAAAACCAGAGTACCTGCAGAAAACCCACCACACATACGAGGAGATAGCATTCGTATTTCTGCACAGATAGATGCAATCCACAGACTTAGCTCAACCAAGTGAGTGGACCAAACCTATCTGTGCACTACACTCGGTCCTATGCTGCCATCTCCTGGCAACCAGCATCCATATATCTACAACACCTCTTCTGCACTGTGGTGGTCCATCATTAAAGCACCAACCAGGCCTGGCCTTCTTTATCTTCTCAGCTCCATTGAGATCGGGCGGACTTGGGGTGATTTGGTCGCAGGCGATGGTCACATTTTTGTACGTAGTTGTTTCTCAATGACCTTAATTTCCAGTAAGATTTTTTTTCATCGATAATGGTCGAATTCCTAAAAATGTAAATTCTACTGTGGACTCATTAGCATTTAAAAATAATGTTAAACACTTGCTTTTGGGCTTAACTACATATTAATTCAGAAGTGTTGAATAGGATGCAGTATTGACAAATGCAGCCATTGACCATGCATTGAACGTTATAATTCATAAAGATGTTGTTATTACAAATGCATTACAAGGGCTTTCATTGCATCTAGTGTCACATTGTTTAAGAAAAAGTTTAGGGAACATTTCTTAAACGCATG